GCAGGAATACATGGAGGGAAGGACACAGGTAACTGTGGGGGGGGGAGTGGGAGGGGAGCTGTTGCACTGTGGTAAATTGTAGTCAATGTCATGAGACAAAGTGTATGTGATCTGTTGTATGGAAAGTGAATTTGCTCTGTAAACTTTCACCCAAATCACAATTTAAAATAAATAGATAAATAAATAAAACAAAGACATCTTTTCTTATGAAGTGTAGGAATTCTTTTTACATCAGATACGTAAGCCCTGTGGCAGTTATTTGTGTGCAAATATTCTCCCACTCTGTGCTTACCTTTTCACTGCCTTGATGTATGCTTGTTGGAAATGTTTTTTTTGTGTTTTGTTTTAAAATAAAATGTAAAAATAAGAAAAGATTTTGGAATCAGTATTAGAGGAAAACTCATTAACAACCTGTGATGCAGATGACACAGCCTCACTTGCTGAAAGCAAAGAGGACTTGAAGCACTTACTAATGAAGATCAAAGATTACAGCCTTCAATATGGATTGCACCACAACATGAAGAAAACAAAATTCCTCATAACTGGAGCAATAAGCAACATAATGAAAAACAGAGAAAAGACTGAATTTGTCAAGGATTTCATTTTTCTTGTCTCCATAGTCAACATTGATGGAAGCAGCAGTCAGGTAATCAAATGGCATATTGCATTGGACAAATCTGCCACAAAAGACGTCTTTAAAGTGTTAAAGAGCAAAGATGTCACTTTGAAGACTGAGGGGTGCTTGACCCAAGCCATGGTATTTTCAATCATCTCATGTGCATGCAAACATTGGACAGAGAATAAGGAAACTTGAAGAAAAATTGATGCCTTTGAATCATGGTGTTGATGAAGAATATTGAATATACCATGGACTGCTGGAAAAATGAACAAATCTGTCTTGGAAGAAGTACAGCCAGTGTGCTTCTTAGAAGTGAGGATGGCAAGTGTTCATCTCTCAAACTTTGGTCATGTTATCAGGAGGGACCTGTCTGTGCAGAAAGACATCATCCTTGGTAAAGTAGAGGGTCAGTGAAAAAGAGGAAGACTCTCAACAAGATGGATTGACACAGTGGTTCCAACAGTGGACTCAAAGAAAGCAACAATTGTAAGGATGGTACAGGACTGGGCAGTATTTTGTTCTGTTGCACATATAGTCATTAGGAGTCAGAACTGACTCAATGGCATCTAATAACAATAGTAGATGACAGTTACATGGGGTTTATAATAGTTTTTTTTTTCTTTTTTTTAACACTGGAAATTTTTCGTAATAAAAACTAAAAATAATATTTTTCACAGTACAATATACCTCAAGTTTGAATATTGACTGTTGTTCTTGTCTTGTGCCATAGAGTAGATTCCAACTCATGGCAACACCATGTGTAACAGTAGAACTGCCCCATAGGGTTTTCTTGGCTGTAATCATTTACAGAAGTGGATTGCTAGGCTTTTTCTTCCAGAGTGCTTCTGCTGTTGTTGTGGTTAGTTGCTGTTGAGTCATCTCCAACTCTTAGTGACCCCATGTACAACAGAACAAAACACTTCCTCATCCTGTGACAGCCTCACAATCCCTGCTATACCTAAGCCTATCATTGCAGCCACTGTGTCAATCCATCTTGCTGAGGGCCTTCCCCTTTTTAGTTTACCTTCCACTTTACCAAGCATGATAACCTTCCCCAGAGAATGGTCCCTTCTGACAGCATGACCAGAGTAGGTGAGACAAAGTCTGGCCATTCTTGCCTCCAAGGCGCATTCTGGCTGCACTTCATCCAGGATGGTTTTGTTAGTTCTTTTAGCAGTCCATGGTACTATCAGGAAACTCAAAAGCATCAATTCTTCTTCAGTCTTCCCTATTCATTGTCCAGCTCTCACATGCTTTTGAGGCAATTGAAAATACCACGGCCTGGTATTTAGATGCACCTTAGTCTTCAAGGAGACATCTTTGCTCTTCAGTGCTTGAAAGAGGTCTTTTGCAGCAGATTTGCCCAATGCAATACATCTTCTGATGGCTTGACTGCTGCTTCCATTGGTGTTAATTGTAGAACCAAGTAATATGAAGTCTTTGACAACTTCAGTCTTTTCTCCATTTATTGTGATGCTGCTTATTGGTCCAGTTGTGAGGATTTTTGTTTTCTTTATACTGAGGTGTTATCCATACAGCAGACTGTAGTCTTCAATCTTCATCTGTAAGTGGTTCAAGTTATCCTCACTTTCACCAAGAAAAGTTGTGTCATCTGCATATCACAGGTTGTTAATGAGCCTTCCTCCAATCTTGATGCCACATTCTTCTTCATATACCCCAGCTTCTCAGATTATTGCTCAGCATACAGATTGAATAAGTACGGTAAAAGGATACAACCCTGACACACTCCCTTCCTGATTTTAAATCATACAGTATTCCCTTGTTCTGTTCAAATGGCAGGCTCCTGGTCTATGTACAGGTTCTCATGAGCACAATCTAGTGTTCTGGAATTCCCATTGTTCTCAATTTCTTAGGATTCACACAATCGAGTGCTTTTGCATAGTCAGTAAAACACAAGTAAACATCTTTCTGGTATTCTTTCTCTTTAGCCAAGATCCATCTGACAGCAGCTATGATATTCCTCGTTCCCCATCCTCTTCTGAATCCAGCTTGCATTTCTGGAAGTTCTCTGTCAATATAATGCTGCAACCCTTTTTGAATTATCTTCAATAGATTTTACTTGCATGTGATATTAGTGATATTGTTCAATAATTTCCACATTCTGTGGGATCACCTTTCTTTGGAATGGGTACAAATATGGATCTCTTCTGGTCAGTTGGCCAGGTAGCTGTCTTCCAAATCTCTTGGAATAGTCAAATGAGTGCCTCCAGAGTGGCATCTGTTTGTTGAAACATCTCAATGGGTAATCCACCTGGAGCCTTGTTTTTCACCAATTCCTTCAGTGCCACTTTGACTTCTTCCTCCAGTACCATTGGTTCTTGATCATATGCCACCTCCTGAAATGGATGAACATCAACCACTTCTTGTTTCAAAAACAAAAACAAACTCACTGCCATTGAATCAATTTCGACTCATAGCGACCCCTTCTTGGGTTTCCAAGGCAGTATCACTATGGAAGTAGATTGCCCAGCCTTTCTTCCAGGGAGTGGCTGGTGGTTAGTATCAGCCTTCTGGTTAGCAGTAAAATGCCTTAGGCACTACACCACTAGAGCTCCCCCTTTTGGTACAGTAACTGTGTATTCTTTCCATCTTCTTTTGATGTTTCCTGCATCATTCAATATATTGCCCATAGAATCTTTCAATATTGTAACTTGAGTCTTAAATTTTTTCCTCTGTTCTTTCAGCTTGAGAAATACTGAGTGTATTCTTCCCTTTTGTTTTTCTAACTTCAGGTTTTGCACATTTCATTATAATAATTGACTTTGTCTTCTTGAGCTGCTCTTTGAAATCTTCTGTTCAGCTCTTTTATCTTGTCATTTCTTCCATTTGCTTTAGCTTCTCTCCACTCAAGGGCAAGTTTCAGAGTCTCTTCTGACATCCATTTTGGTCTTTTCTTCCTTTCCTGTCTTTTTAATGACCTCTTGCTTTCTTCATGGATGATGTTCTTGATGTCATCCCACAATTCCTCTGGTTTTCAGTCACTGGTGTTCAATACATCAAATCTGTTCTTTAGACGGTCTCTAAATTCAGGAGGGATATAATTAAGGTCATATTTTGGCTCTTGTGGAATTCTTTTAATTGTCTTCAGCTTCAACCTGAACTTTCATATGAGCAGTTGATGGTCTGTTCCACAATCAGCTCCTGGCCTTGTTTTGGCTGAAGATACTGAGCTTCTCCATCACGTCTTGCCACAGATGTAGTCAATCTGATTCATGTGTACTCCGTCTGGTGAAGTCCATGTGTATAGCCACTGTGTGTTGTTGAAAAAAAGGTGTTTGCAATGAATAAGTCACTGGTCTTGCAAAATTCTATCATGCGATTTCCAACAGTATTTCTATCACCAAGGTCATATTTTCGAACTACTGGTGATTCTTCTTTGTTTCCAACTTTTGCATTCCAATCACCAGTGATAATTAACACATCTTGATTGCATATTCAGTCAAATTCAGACAGCAGAAGTTGGTAAAAATTTTCAATTTCCTCATCTTTGGCTTTGGTGGTTGGTGCATAAATTTGAATAATAGTGGTATTAACTTGTCTTCCCTGTAGGCATATGAATATTATCCTATCACTGACAGCACTGTACTTCAGGATAGATCTTGATATGTTCTTAGTGATGATGAATGCCATGCCATTTCTCTTTGTCATTGCTGGCATATTAGGTCATATGATTGTCTGATTCAAAATGGCCAAAACAGTCCATTTCAGCTCACTAATGCCTAGGATATCAACCTTTATGCTTTCCATTTCATTTTTGACAACTTCCAATTTTCCTAGATTCATACTTCATACATTCGATGTTCCAATTATTAATGGATGTTTTCAGTTGTTTCTTCTCCTCTTGGGCTGTGTCACATCAGCAAATGGAGGTCCTAAAGCTTTACTCTATTATCTACAGTGCTTCTGGGTAGGTTTACATCATAAACTTTTTGGTACCCACCAAGTGCAAACTGTCCCATCTAGGGACCTTGAAAATTAAGGTCATTATTATTATAATGGTCATTATTAAGGTCATTCATTATTATTATAATGAAGGAACCAATAAACAAGTAAGAAATGATTATAAATTATATCCAGGCAAAGTTGGCTAGATTTTTTTAATAAGAGTTATAATTTTGAGGAAGCATCATAGTATCCCGAGTGTACCAACAATTGGATATTATGAGCTGCCTGAAGACCTCAAGACCACCTTTAGTTTTGATGATTCAGTGGGAAGACTCATGGAACTCAGCATATAGTCATATGACAGTTATGATTTATTACAGCAAAAGGATACAAAGAAAAATCAGCAAAGGGAAAAGGCACATGGGGCACAGTGTAGAGGAAACCAGGCACAAGCTTCCAAAAGTCCTTTCCTAGGAGAGCCACACAAGGTACATGTAATTCCCTCAGCAATGAGTTGTGACAACATGTGTGAAATGTTGTCTACCAGGGAAGCTCATTAGAGACTCAGTTCCTCAAGTTTATTAGGGGCTGTTCACACAGGCACACTATGCTTCGCACATATCAAAATTCCAGACCATCAGAAGGAAAGCAGGTGTTCAGCATAAACCATATTATATGCACAAACAATTTAGGCACAGTGAGTCATTCTTACCAGGGAATGGTGGGAATTCTTCTAAAATCCAGGTTTCCAGATACTGCCCAAGGGGCAACTTTGCTAGTAGGCCTAAGGACAACAGTCTCAGGCCTAGTTTTCTGCACAAAGGCTATTAAAAAAAAAAAAAAAAAAGTGTATCTTTTGAAAATGAGGGTTTGGACTGTGCATGGTCTAATAATTTTATCAGAAATTTTATAGGATGTTGTTTTTTCTTCTCTTTGGGTCTCTGAGATATATATATATATATATTTTTTTTTTTTTTTCTTAGCTACTGAAACATACAGCCAGAATCACAATGATTAGAGAGTTAATTGCTAGTGAAAAATCATTTCAAGATCAGGTTATTGAGGTAAGTTTAACAGTTACTATGGACTATCCTTAACATACATAAAGATGCCTACATGCTCTTTGTCAAAAGAATGTGAACTTTTAATTTTGTTATGAATCCATTTAAACACATAAAGACATAATTTTTTTCAATTCTAGGTTGTTTTATGAAATAATATGATCATAGTTTCATGATTGATTATGGGGCAGAATTGAAAGCCACTGATAAATTTTGTACAGAAAATTACCTGCTAGTTATCTTTAGCTATTAGTTCCTTGGTTTCTTTATCACTAGCAACACAAAATTTTATTAAAAATAACTAATATCGGTTTTATGACTCTAATCTTTCATCTTCTTCCAGGTTTCAGAGTTAGAGACTGCTTTATTTCCTTATTAAAAGATATTGAGAATCCTTTATATCATTCTGGGAAAAGAGAGAGAGAGAGAAGAGAGATTTGTATTTGTGTGGCTATGGGAACTATAAGAGGTCTTTAGTTTTTAAATATCAGCTAGTTGGTAGTCAAACCTATATTGTGCACTGACTATGAAGTGACTCCAGAGAGTACAGGAGGAAGCAAATGAATCAAAGTCTACAGATACTCCTTTGGCAAGTCCTGATTCTGACCAGAAATTTCCACTGATGAAACCTATCTCACTGGAACTATCATTCTAAATGAGGCAACCATTGTCACCTGGGACTATGTTCTTTGTAAATGACTTAGATAAAAGAGCCACTGTATCATTTGGAAAGTGGAGTTAAATTATCTGATACTGAAGTGATGTTGGTATGAACTTCTGAGATTGCCCCCTTCAGAACTCTTATTTCTGAAACTTCATACTAGAAAATAGTTATAAAACCAAAAACCCATTAACAAAAAAATTTAATCACAAAACAAAGTTCAGCATCATTCTTCAGGAAAAAGGAGTAATTATACCTGTGATCTTGAGTGTAGATAAACTATTCCTTCCAAGCTTCTGGATGACATTTGTAATGAAAATAAAGATAATGAAAATTCAGACAACTTTGCCATAAATAAATAAATAAATAAACTTATCACTAAAGGATAAGACAGTCCTGTTTTCTGTCCCTGACCCACAAATCCAATAACAACAGCCTTATATAAACTACTTCCTTCTGGTTGTGTTGTTAAGGAGAATGAATTGTACAAAGATGTGCATGGGCTTATTTCTAAATAATGTAGTTCCACTGGGTCTGTTATTTGGAATGGAACATGGTTTTGGATGACTAAAACACAACTGGATGATAGTCTTTCAGCCCTTGGACTTTCCTGTGTATAGGTTTTCATTTTACAGTCTCACTTCAGTTCTTAATTTTAAAAATATTTTATGTAATAATTGGATGAGTTTAGAACTGAATTGCAGATCGGTGCATGGAAACTTGACACGAAAGTTAAAAAGAAAGATGAATGGTTATTGTTTGGGATCATCTGAACTATGCACTTGTTCCAGATGGTAAGACCTGGCAAACCCCTTCAATGATGAACTTAAATGCATCCTCTCTATTTGTATAAAGTGATAATATGTAAAGCTGCCAATGTTCGAGAACTCAGGCCTGGGAGTACATAGAGCACAGCTGTAATTAAACCTTTTGATCATTATATAAAATATAATATTAAAAGTTTGCAAACTATAAATAAATACAGTGTGTGTGTGTGTGTGTATATATATATATATTATATATATAGTAAAATGTTTTTATGTTTGCATTTTCATTTATTGATAGTTTTTGCCTATTTTCATGTGAATCATAAAAGAGGATTTATTTAAGTTTCACAGAAAGGTCTTAGAAAAATTTTTAAGTTTTGAAAATAATTTAGCTGTGGAACATATAAATCATGATTTGGCATGCATCTGCACACATTTTTCCTACAGAAAGATCTGGGAACAACCCTGTTCTTAATAATCTATTACTTTTAAAGGAGTTGTGTTCTTAAGGGGTGATAAAAGGAACATAAAGTAAACCTCATTTGTTGAATTTCAAATTCTTGTGTTGTCATTAGATTAGCTTTGTCTTCTTTGGTATTTTATGGCATTTTGATTCAGGAGAAAATTTGTGATGTGTTCCATTAGATCCTTGAAATACAGGATATTGCTGCTAAACAAATAAATGTAGAGTCCATATAGGTACTTTCCAACCTGTAAAAATGTACGAATATTTTATTTGGTTAATTGGAGACTCTAGATGCATAATCTTTAGGAAACCTGTAACCTGTAAGTCTTGTTTGTAAAATGAGTCTACTAGTAACTCACCTAGTTGGAGACATAGCTCAGGTGATTTGCTCATCCAGCACTAAGTTCTATACTTCTATGACTCTAGCTATTGAAGAACTCTTTGAATTTTTAGACTAATAAATTATTTTTTGTCAGATGTCTCCAGCAGTGTGAAGTATCAAAACTGAGCACAAATGTATTTAATCTTAGGCCGCAGACTTTGATTCAAATGAAGCCAAGAATGTCGATGATATACCTACCTTACTAGGAGCCAAACTTGATAAATACCACAATCTAAATGAAGAGCTTGATTTCATGGTAAGAAAGATTTTTAATTCCTTTGCTGTCATTTTTATACCACTTTATTAAGTTTAGGTAATTATCAACTTTCAAACAATTCGATCATTAACCAGAAGAACTAGATGGTGCCCGGCTACCACTGTCAACCACTCAGAGGGGGATCTATGTAGGAGATCCTGGACGGACTGGGAGAACAATGTGGAACAAAACTCAAAATCATTTGGAAAAAAAAAGGGGGGGACCAGGTTTGCTGGTCTGATGGAGCCTGATGGAACCACTGAGACTGTGGCCCCTAGCTGCCCTTCCGGTCTGGAATTGAATCCACACCTGTGGCTTCCAGCCAGACAAAAGGCAGGCATATGAGGGTGAACATTTATACTAGGTAGATACACTCCTTGGAGAGAACAATCATGGGAGAATAGAAGGGCTGTGTATGCACAGGGACATAGCTCAGGGGGCAGGAGTGCATGAAGGGAAGGACACAAGGAAGAGGTAATTATGAGGAAGATGTAGGAGAAGAGCTGTTGCATTGTGGTAAATTGTAGTCAGTGTCATGAGATAAAGTGTATGTGAGCTGTTGTATGGAAAATGAATTTGCTCCGTAAACTTTCACCCAAATCACAATTAAAAAAAATAAAAAGGTCATTAAAATGGTCACACGGTGGCATGACAGCAGTATTGTTGGCCCACAAAAGTGCACAATCGAAGTATGCATTTTCATTTTTGACATTTTAGGTATTGCCTCACCTGATTTCTGTTTAGACTATTCAGATTTATTTTTTCAAAATGCACAAGTAAATGAATATGTGCTGTTTTTTATAGTGCATGAAGCATATTTATATTGTTGCATCTGCCTACCACCATTTTTATAGCAATATCTGTTTACAACTATGATTAAGGGACACCTTGAGAAATAATACTCATAGTTTACTTTAGATGGCATCTAAAGATAAAAGCAGATATAACAAAAATATTTATATATTAGAAGAAAATTAAAATATGTTCTTGGTATTAAACTAGTTACAGAGTAATTTAACCATCTAGTTGGATCTCAACATAATAAAAAAAACACAAATAAAAAATTGATCATTTTAATAGCAGTTAAGTAGAGAAGTCTATCATCCTATTTTTAAATGATTAAAAAGGAGCATATGTACTGAATTCATTACATGCTGTAATCTAGGAGTAGTGGCATAAGAACTTGTCTAGATTCCTTAGTGAAAGAACCAGAATCATCCCAAATCTGATTCCTATGAGTTGGAGGCAGGGTTAGATTAAGGTGTATGAGGGCCCTATGCATTGATTATCCATAGTGCCTCTCTTCTGCTTACTCACACATTTGAACAGGTTATGTGAATTATATGTATACATGTGTACATATGCATGTAAATATGTTTATGAGTCTTAGCTATCTATAATGTAACTTATTTTTATTTTCATTTTAAGAGCTTGTTTTACATTCAACCTAATGCGTACATTTAGTTTCATTCTCCATTCGCCATGTCCAACCCTAACCCAGTCTACTCCCCTCCCTATCCTGTAACCCTCCCCCTGTGCCCTTCATAATTATGCACTCCTGTTTGTCCTGCATTTCCTCAGTTTGAATGTTGGTCCTCTGGTGTCCCATGGTCTCTTGCTCTAAGGTATGTATTACCATAGAGCATGTGGGTGCGTCATCCTGGGTTGAGTGGTCTGTGTGTACGTACATCTTGTTAACTATTGGACTGAGAGCCCACCCCTGGAGGTGAGTTTTATTCCAGGTGAAGAATGTATTCCAAGGCCATAGTATTGGGAGTCTCACCAGATTTCATCTGACCAGTAATTCTGGTCATTATTGAGTTTTTGGATTTTGTTCCACATTTTCCCTCCCACTCTATCCAGGATATCCAGATTTGATCCTTTCCTCATTGGTTGGCATTGGTAGCCAGGCACCATCTAGTTCTGGTCTTGAGGGCCATCGTGTCCTAGGGCTGATTGCTTCTAAATGCCCTTGGTTTTTTTTTGTGTGTGTGTGTGTTCTTCACTTCCAACTCTAGGAGACCATTAGCTGCATCTTAGATGTCTGCTTGAAAGCTTTTAAGACCCCAGTCGCTACTCACCAATGTAGGATGTGGAGCAATGCTTTTATGTATTTTGTTGTGTCAATTGAGTCTGGTGTCCCCCAGTACTATGGTTCTGAGGCAGTAGATCTATTGGATATGTCTCCCATAGTGTCTGGATGTCTGTGAGGGATTACTCTGTGTCTGTCTTCTATTGTTTCTATAAGGACTGCAGGTATTTTGTATCACTGGTGTCTGTGCAAGATTAGCCACAGCTGAATCTATCTTTGATCTAGAGTATACTTCTATTCACTGACCCCAATCTGATCATCTCAGGTGTTTATGTGTTTATCTATATAGCCTAGTGTTTGGTGTTAATGGCAATGCAGTATTGTGGACAGATTGGTTGATATTAGCATCTGTCGTCTATCTCTTATGCGTACAATTTGGTGTCCTCTCATTTCCTAATGTTATTATGGTGGTCATATATTCTTCCCGTATATCCCTCCCCCTACCTATGTCAGCGTGTAGGCCCCACCTAGCCTGAAATTAACCCCTCCCATTCCTTCCCCATTCTGGTAACCTACTAGGTGAGGTCCCTTTCCCAAGCAAACCCTTCTCTGTCTTTTTACAGTAATGGGCTCATACAGTACTTGTCCTTCTGCGATTGACTTATTTCACTCAGCATAATGTCCTCCAGGTTCATCCACATTGTGAGATGAGTCACGTATCCCCATTGTTCTTTAATGTGGCATACTATTCCATTGTGTGGATATACCAT